TCCAGAATTAATTTTTTTTGAGATTGATTATCCCATTCTGTTTGAGATTATAATAAACTATAATTTTGAAATAAATTATTCTATAATATTATTAAAATCAAACATGAGTTAAATTTATCATAATATTAATTTAAAATTAATTATTTTTTATCTTTCTTACCAAAGGAACTTTTAGAATTTAGCTCGTTGTCTAATTTGTTGAATTAAAACTCATTTCAAAGGCTATGGATAATTAGTTTAACCCATATGGGTAGTTTGAGAACTTCTCCTAAAGTGACTCTTACAAAAATGCTCATGCGGTGCAAATTATATACCTATTGCTTTCTCATATTTTACAATTTTTTAAACTCAATCATGTGCTAATGTAGTCAGTCTAACATATTCTCATTGTCATTGTTATTATATCACCAGACTTTGGTGAACGCTTTAAAGAATATAAATAGTTTATTCTAAACTGAATTTCTCTCTGTTTATTTTTTTAATTCTTTCGCTTCCTATTAAAATTAGGTAGGAATTGTGGTGCAAGCACGAGGCCAGTATTTGTATATTATTTTATATTATATTTATTTTTTCAGAAATGTCAAATAAAAAGGTTTAGATGTTATTGAATTTCATAAAAATTGATCAAATATGTTAATAAGATATAATCGTTAATAATTGTGTTGTATCTTATATTTATGATTGTTCCACGTACAAGTAGAGATGCGATACAATTAAGTATAAGCTTTTTAAATTTCTTCTCAACTCCAAAAGAAATTATATAATGTAACAACAAATTAGCTTAATAGGTGATATACTTTCTTTTTACAGTATAATCAATTGAATTCTGGCTTTGTAAAATGCATTCTATAACAATATTTCCATCTGCTACAGGAAAACATTTGTGTCTCTTCTACTTTTGGAGTAGTTGCACATTTTCTGGCCGATCTCTCTTCTTTATGTGATCTCTCCACATCTCCTAGGTAATTGGTCAAGCCTTCTCTATGTTTCACCTTGATTTGTAACTTTGAGGAATCATTTTTCCACTCGATTGGAAGGACTCAACGCATGTTTTTCCGTACTATATTCTAGTATTATAAAGTAATAGAGTTTAGCATACTAAACATTAGGAATATCAAATACAACACCAGTTAAGGAATTGTAATAGTACAAAATATGGGCAAGATACAAGTACATTAAAAAAAAATATAAGCAAGGTAAAACAAGATCTTTTTTTTCTCTATGCAACCTATAAAGGAGAGATATTGTTAATTTAATGAAAGAAATAACGATGGAAAGAATAAGTGCGGGTTGGAGACTAACTTTTTTCTACAAATTATATGTAAGGTAAAAGAATTCACATTGTTGATCTCAATTATCAATAACCAAGTTGCATGTAGCATTTTTAATCAGCCCCCTCTTTGTATATCTATTTCATTTGTTTTTTCCAATGGTAGATACTTGCTAAGATTCCAAGACATTTCAAAATGGCGTGATCGATATTGAAGAACCTAATTGTTACAATTTTACTCTTGCTAAGAAGTCCATACATGTATAAACCAATGTAATAAAATAGAAACTTTTTTTCTATAGAAGAGGAGATCTAAGAGGAAGGTGTCAAACACATTTACATGATTAATATAGATGCATAGGCTTATATTTTACAATACATAGAGAAAATGAACCATCTTTTTTCTCGATGGAAGCATATCTTGTGGTGTACAAATCAAATACTCAGTAAGTAGTATAGTGAAAAGTTGCTCATAAACGTAGAGATTATAGAGGTATAATTTTAACCTTTTCTGGAAATAAAGCAAGAGCCGCGAACAACAACATTCTCCTGAATTCTAGATGTTGGCTGAACCGGATCCATAGAACTTGTGCTCAACGAAGGTGGTTACTAGTTATTTCTTGCATTTTGAGGCGCTTTCAGTCATGTCGCTTTTTATATTTAGCAACTCTTATGCCCAACATTCTACATAGATATTTCACACAATAAGATTCGGAGGACATGTTGGTATATTATACACATCTTTAGTTTATGATCACAAGATTTAAAAATTCGTATCAAGTCAAAACTAAGATGAGCAAATTATAATGGAGACACCATATTTAAGAAATTTAAAAAGAGATGAAAACACTACAAGACTCAGCTACAAGAGTAGAAGGTTGAACTCGTGTATCTGCATAATCATAACAGTCCACTGCAATCCAAGGCAAAACAATAGCCGTTAAGACTATTGTTTCTAATATTGACATCTTTATCTATAAGATGAGAATTACTTTCACATTTTTATCAAAATGATTAGGATTAGGTAAAATGTGTCGCTTCAGAGAATTATCTAACAATAAAACACAAATAGAAATGACATTTTATACTCGTTTTTATGAAATTGTCGAAGAACTCCCTGTTAGTTAGTAGTTGATAAAATTCAGACTATTACAATATATCTTGGTCTGGTAAATTTTTTGCATACCTGATTGTTTTTAGTACAGTTTCCTAATGAGATTTCTTTGGCATCTGCATGAACTGACTTAAGGTTTGGACTGTAAAAGTCACACAAAGTAACTTTCCAATCAATTTCTGATAAGCATTAACATCATATAATAACTCATCTCCTATAATATTAGTTGCCTCATCATACTCCCTAGTAGTGAATGTTGGTTTTAGCAAAACGTGAATGACAAAAAGAGAAAAAAATGGAAATGTGAGGGAACAATATGGAGGGAAAATGAAAAGTCATATGCAAAGTGCAAATGAAAAGTCAGTTTTTTCATATCGGTAAAAAAAAGGAAAATTGTTGTCTTTATATTTGGAAACACTTCATATACTTCTTAAAGGTTAAGAAGAAGGTGCCCCCTCACGTCGTCGTCGCTTGGCTTCGGATGTGATTGATTGATAAATTTTTTGGACAAAATTTATTTAATCAATTCTGTTATTCAAATTTTTCTCTTATAAATTAATTCAGGATGTTAGTTATAACATAATTAATTTTGGCGCGACGAAATTTATTTAAAATTCACGTGCAGCGTAATAACAATCTAATTTCTAAAAAGTCATTATTTTTTCCAAAAGACACACCTTTTCGAAAAGTTATTATTTTTCTCAAAGACACAACCTTCTAAAAAAAAGGGGTTTGAACAGACAGTGGCAGAGCCACGAATTTCGCCAAGGGTGTTCAAACTATAAAGAATTGATAAATATTTTTTAGCAGAGTGGGTGCACAAAATATATGTTTTTACGGATGAGTAGGTGCACCCAAATTTTAAAATTAAAATATATATCATAATTAGTAAATTATACGGAAATTTTTTTATACGGAAATTTAAAATTATAAAACTATCAATTGTACAAATCAATACTAATTGAAAAGGTCCAAAAAACAATTTTAGCTATTAGTTGAATATACCACCTCTAGTTCATATTAAGTGAATTGTTGAGACTTTTTTCATGATTCAAAATAAGTACATGTTTCAAAGATCAAGAGAAATGTCGAAACTTTTTTCCCATAATTACATTCTTAACTATTTTACATTTTGTAAAACAATAGTTTATAAATAATAAAAAAAACTATAATAATTCACTTAATATAGATAGAAAGTACAAAGAAAACAATAAAATCTTAATTATTAGGTCAATCAAAATTTATGGTTGATAATTAGGTGTTATTTCTTATTTAGAAAATACTGTTAAAAACGCAGCTAAGAAGGATCCAATCACCACGTCAAAGACCTAAATTACCCAAAAAAATATTGTGTTAAAACATAGCATCCTGTGGGATCGAACCAGGGACCTCAAAGCCCTACACATGCGTGCTTACCGCCAGACCACAAACCTATGTTATACATAAGAGTGTTCAATTTATTAAATATACATATATTAGATAGTATTTTACTTCCGTACAACGTATAGTTTTCCGATGAAGGGTGTTCACCTGACCAACCTTACAACACTGTAGTTCCGCCCCTGTGAATAGATGAGTTTGAAGAGATACGTTTTTTTGCTGAAAATGGCTATAAAAAGGAAGTCATTTTTCGTTTTCAAACATTTAAATTTTTTTCCTTCTCTTTGCATACATTTTCTCTCATAAACAAACTTGTCGATCGACTGAGTTAGTGTGTGACTAGTTGTTTTTCATACGTTCGTTGAAGTTGTTGAGTTTGAGGTACCGCTACTTCTTTAACAGGTTAATCCATTTTATCTTGGAAGAAATTAATTCATAACCTCGGGTACCATAAGGGGATTAAATTTCTTAAGGAGACACTATAATAGTTAAAATAGAAACAAAAAGAAGATGAAATAGACAGGAAAAAAATCCGAGTCCTCAAAAAACCTTAGTACAGTTAGTAACATCGAAAAGTTAAAGAGTATGAATATACTCCTCCGTTATGATTCCACTCAAACACTTTTCCCCACTTATAGTAAATTTACTTGCATTCAAGTACTTTAGCTTACATAGAAAAATATAAAATAAAATCAAAACTTGTGCTTTTGAAAGTGTGAGTTACATATATTTCAAATGATATTTAAAAAAAACAATACTTGTCACCAATTCTAGAGTAGGGGGCATGTACTACAACTCTTGCTCCTAAGATTAAAATTAATGATGGATTTATATGTGTATATTCATGGAAATCAAAATTTGTGAACGTTTTCTATATTATCAAAGTTATGTAATCGCGTTTCACAACAGGGCTGGTTCATATAAGTAAATTTGAAGCCTCATCATAAGATTAGAGAAATATATAGTTAAAAACTAAGAGAGATCCTTTCAGTCGAGAAAAGAATCATTTTTATTTAGTTGTTCATCGGGAAAACTCGAGAGTATGAATATGCCCCTGTTTTATGATTCCACTTACATACTTTCACCGTTTTTTGGGTCAATGACAGTTCAAACTCCCTGTTATGATCCTACTTAACCCACTTAAATACTTTCCTCGACTTTCAATCTGCCATATCTTATATTATACTAATTCACTCTTCATTCATTCCATAGTTTTGCTGAATATATTGTAATAGCCATTCTCCAAGTGTTCATGTTGAATTCTACAAACGACATAACAATCATTTGTGCACATAAAGTGATTAGTATGTACTTACTGCACATCACATAATAGCTCAACTCTTGTAGTATTAGTTGCCTCATCATACTCCCTAGTGCTAAAACTTGAGAGTATGAATACTCCATTATGATTCAACTCAAATACTTAATTCCCCGACTTATGGTTAAATTTAATTGCATTCAAGCACTTCAACTTAAATACAATAATATTTTTTTTCAAACAATTTTAAAATTTGCGTGTTTGAAAGTGTGAGTTGTCGATGTTTCAAATGGTATTCCAATAAGACAATAATTTGTCACCTATTCTGGAATAGAGGTCATGTACTACAACTCTTACACCTAAGATCAAAGTCAATGATGAAGTTTATATCTGTATATTCATTGGAATCAAAATTTGAGAAAGCTTTCTATAATATCGAGTTCTGAAATCGCATTTTACAGCAGGGCTGGTCCATATACTTCAATCTTGAAGTGTGAGAGTTTTTTGAGAAGTACACTTGAAGTCTTATCATAAGATCAAGAACTATATGACTAAAAACTATGAGAAATCCTTTTAGCCGAGAAGTGACTCATTTTTATTCGTTGTTCATCTGGAAAAGTCAAGAGTACGAATATGCCCCTTAGTTATGATTCCACTTAAATACTTTCCCCGATGTTAGGTCAAGGACAGAGTTCAAACTCCCCGTATGGTCCTACTAATCCCACTTAAATACTTTCCTCGACTTTGGATCAATGATAAATTCAAACTCGTGATGTGCATAGTTTTTAGTGTAATTTTTCTATTGATTCTCCAACCAGTAAAATGATTTTTACTCAAACATTAGTGATAATTTAAATTCTAAAGGTTAGTATACTTATTGTAGATCTACTGATAGATCAATAGGTCAATTTCTCTTATTGCGGATGCTTAACTTCACACAACAAGTGAAAATAATTTCAAAATATTAATGCAATAAGGTGAAGAAACTCCAAGCTAAATCTACAACAGCCCAGAAAATTGATTTCGATGGAAAATCCATGTATGAAATTAAAACAGTGAAAGTATAATTACCTAATCAAAATTGAAAGCACAAGCATTAAAATTATTTGAACTTCCAAAGCACAAGAAAAATCAAACATCAATAACAAATCCAAATGAAAAAGGAGGCAAATGTTGACACAACCAATTCAAATTTGATGAAAGAGAGATAAATTAAAGAGATTTCTGAACTTTAATTTTAGAAAAACTGAATGAAAACACAAAAGAGACTTACCTGGATAGAATGTTGAAGAAAGGAGAAAGAACTGATGTGAACATAAGTGAGGTGTAAATTGAAAACATGGGAGAAAGACACGTTGTAATAATAGGGAATTGAAGAGATGAAAATACCCTTTAGAGCAGTAAAGTAGGCATGCTGAAACAAACTTTTTCTGATATAAGAGAAATAAACATGAAGATTAAAATTAAAATATTACTCTATTTGTATATTCTTTTATCACACTTTGACTTGACACATATTAAAAAAAATAGTTATTGATATATGTATTTCACCAAATTATTCCCTATAAATGATGACTTGAAAAAATTATTGAAAAATAAGCATATCATGAGGGTAAAACATGAGGAAATATTATTATATTTTTTTGATATGTCAAATAAAAATAAAGTTTTATTTTATAAATAAATGATAAGTAAAAGTAAATACAAAAAATATATAGTTTGAGAACTTTTCGTGAAAGTGACTTTTACAAAAGTGCTCATGCGGTCCAAATTAGTTACATACTGCTATCTCATGTTTTACCATTTATAATAGTAACTAGATAGAGCATGGCCGTGCAAAGCACGACCCAACATTAAAGGATCATTATTTCAGAAAAATTAATGCATTATATGAACAATCTGATTTTCGTATTAGTGAATTATAAGTGGTACAATATCATTGCAATAAAGAAACCGATTATATTTTACATATATTTCAGATAGCAAAAGCATCCGCTTTGTGCATTATATAAATCTCTAGAACTGAAAAATAACATTAAATATCTTTTGGGGAAGAAAAATGATGTCTTACATAAACGAGAGGACAATTTGGCTAAAGCTTCACATTTACTGGACTCAGAGGAATTGGTCACTACTAAATTAACTTTTTCTTCTTACCAGTTCTAAAATAATATTCCAAGTGAAAACTTTTACTTGGTAGGGTCAGATATTAAGTCTTAATGTTCTCTCTTTATCATGGATCATGAGATCTAGATACAATTCTAAAATAATTAATAGAACATAGAAATTACTACGCCATAGTTTTTTTTTATTCGTAACCGTTCTCATCATTTCAGCCTTCAGGTACCTTTCTTGACAGTCTGTTCACCCCAAGTTAACAACTTCAAAGAAATCTTCAATGTTAGTGATATCCTCGGAAACTCCTAAAGCTCCTCTAATGTACATCTGCAAGTTATAATTAAAACGTAAAAAGAAAAATATTTCTGCAACCACATAAAGAATATTAAGAAAGAAACACCCTAAAAGAATTTTCATTCCCAATCAAAAAGTGCATAGATTCTTTTTCTCGTCATAACCATCTGGTATTTCAAATTAGAGATATATATAAGAACAGTTATGATATGGTTAGTAGACATGTGGCATTATACGTGTGTATACGTGTCATTTTTTTGTGTTTTTGCAAAGAGTATAGTCAATATAAGGTCTATACGTGTCATTCAGTATCAAATTTTTATTTTTTATTGGCTTTTTGGATAGCATTATTTTTGTTCTTTGTGCCTATGTTTACCTTTACCCTTTACATTGTGTTTGAATGGTTGTTTGAAATTAGGTGATAATTGTATTGTATCCTATTATTTTATAAAAGTATTATTATATTATATTATATAAAAATATTATTATATTATATTATATATTTATTTTTGATTTATTTTATAATATATTTGAGTTAATTTTTAATGTATTGGAATTAGTTTTTAATGTATTCGATTTATATATTATGTATCTTGTTAAATTCAAATGTTGAATACACATATGGAATATCTAACAAAACGAATTATAAATTTGAAGGATGAGAATGTGTGCCATTTCTTTCTTTCACCTAATTCTTTTGCTACTAAAGTCACGTGTCCGTACACGTGCATTTATCAGACCCCACCCCACCCCTTCACAATTAAAAAAAATCAATAATTAATTAGCAATTAAAATAATAATAATTAATAATTGCTAAAGTCGTTTATTGTTATTAACGAAGCACAAAACACCAAAATGGATCAAATGAAGGACAAACAACACAAGATACAACAACTAAACAAACCGAATCAATCAACATTACAAAATGACAAAATCAAACAATTAGAGATTCACACATACAACATCTAAACACAAACGCACTCAATATCATTCAGAAATTAAGAGAAAAAAAAAGAGAGAATACAAGAACAATACAGGAAGATCAGGGATATAATCAGTCAAATGAGGAACATCTTCAAGAACATAGCCGTAATCTCCTTTCACCACCTTCATCTGGTAATTACTCTCCAACAAATTTAAACAAAACTGGTAAACTAAACACAAAATTAAATTTTAAAATTATGAATATTAAACCATTTATACTTATCGCCGATTAATCTGCCGATGAAATCAAAGAGGCACAAGCGGGTTAGACCCGAATACATCTCCGAAATCCTGAAAGAAGTCCTCTACGGGCCAGGATGAAGATCCGAAACCACAATTAGTAGTACTTGATCCGAATAACATGTTATTGCAGTCGGGTAAAGTATCCGGTTCAAAAAACAAGTCGGATATGGTAACCGGGTTCTCGAACTGAAACAAATCATTGGGGAAGAAACTCTCGAACGGTGGTAAATCGCAGAAGTTCTCCGACATGGAAATGTCATTTTTGTCCCTGATATCGGAGAGTAAAATTGATAATGACTCAGCTTAAGCTTCCTCGTTATTCTGAGATTCATTAAATGAAGTTGAAGCACACCGTAGAACGGACTTCGGCGAGCGTTGACCGTTGTGGGATTCTTCGCCAGAGTTGTAGCTGGAGCAGCTGGTTTTCGTTGCCGGAGGAGTGGCGAAGAAGAGGGAATAAATAGAGAATAACGATTACAGCTAGAAGAAGGAAAAAACAACTATCAAAGTTTAGGGAAAAATAAAACATTAGAGAAATCAAAGAAAAAAATTGAAGGAGCCTTACCTGGGATGAATGGTAAAAACATAGAAGAGATTTTCAGCAAGCAAAGTAAAAAAGCAATAAAGGAAGAAAGTTAAAACATGAAGCTAATGATGTGTCATTGACAATATCTATGCACAAGACACCTAATCTATAATAAAGCATTGAAAGGACAAGACACCAAAGCAAGACACCTAGCTATATTTGAATATTGAAAAGACAAAAATAACCTTAAATGTGATGATACAGGCATGTTGAAATAGCCTTCTTCTAATATAGTAGTAATGTAATAAAGGAGATATAAATATATATTGAAGTCAATCATGTTTTAATCCGTCTAACATATTATTATTATTATCACCAGATGTTGGTGATAGGTTAAAGTATATAAATAATTTATTCTAAATTGAATTTCTCTCATTTGTTTCTTTAATTCTTTCACTTCTTATTAAACTATGCACATTAAAGTTAAAATTTTATTTAATTTGAATATTGTTATTTGTCACAATTTAATTTGACTGGTATATTAAAAGAATAATTATTGATATAATTATACTGAGGTATAATATGAAAAAAATTATTATATTTTTTTGATATGTCAAAATAACAAATAAAAATGAAAATCTATTTTACAAATAAATGACAATTAAAAATGAATAAAGAAAATATATAATTTCAAGTACATTTATTAATTAAAAGGCTAACTATTAATGTTAACTTGTTTAATTTACAAAATTTTAATGCAACCACTAGTTGCAACTTGCATATCTTTTTTTACCTATGCCATTGTTCGTTCTTGTATTTCTTTCTTGAATTTTTTAGCTCTGTCATATTTAATTGACATGTTTCAAATTATAAAATTAAAAATATATTTTATATAATTTTAATTTAAATTGTAAAATTAAATTAAATTGAGTACGAAATCGACAAAATGTTTATATTGACTCAGTCAACACCAACCATCCTAAACTAGGCGTAGCTCGTAGCTTATCATTTCAATTGCATCTTCCCTGTACGCTAACAAATAATGGAGGAATACAAATCACTGAAAATCATTCAAAAATCTCCAAATTCTCTTGTTTATTACCTGTATCTCAACCGACCCACACACCTCAACGCTCTCTCACAAGATTTCTTCACTGAATTCCCCAAAGCCATCTCCTCACTCGATCAAAACCCCGATGTCGCCGTTATCATCCTCGCTGGCTCCGGCAAGCACTTCTGTTCCGGCATCGACCTCCATACCCTAGGTGATGTCTTCAAAGAAACCGACGCCGTTGATTGTGGCCGTAAAGTTGAGAGACTCCGGCGACATATCAAGTTTCTTCAGGAGGCTATTACTGCCTTAGAGTGTTGCCGTAAACCGGTGATTGCTGCTGTCCATGGCGCATGTATCGGTGGTGCGATTGATATCATTACTGCCTGTGATATTAGGTATTGTTCTACTGATGCTTTTTTCTCAGTGAAAGAGGTGGATTTAGCTATTACGGCTGATCTCGGGACACTTCAGAGGCTTCCCAGTATTGTTGGGTTTGGAAATGCTATGGAGTTGGCTTTAACTGGTCGAAGATTTACAGGTTCTGAAGCTAAAGATTTGGGCTTGGTGTCTAAGCTTTTTACTTCTAAAGAAGCTTTGGAGGAAGGTGTCAAAGTTGTTGCTAAGGGTAAGTGTCTCATCTGCATTAAAGTTTCATTCTTTTTGTTTACCTCTTCACTTCTATGTTACTCGGTTGAAGACAAATAATGTTCTTGTTCTACATTGATGGTTAAATAAGTTACTCCCTCTGTTTTAATTTGTTTTGAAGAAGTTAATTTTTTTAAAATCTTATGGTTTTAAACTAAAAATGGGTTGAAAAGCTAAGTTTTGAAAGGATATTAAGATATCTATATAGTGAAATTCACAGAAAACATTTCTTCGGGAAAGGTAACATATAGTATATATATAATAAGAGTACTAAGTGAGGTAGTACAGCCATATTTACAGAGAAGCCAAGAACCCTTGCAAAATAAGATTTACAGAGAACGTATCAGATCTATGAGGGAATTTTGTCTCCTCTATTCTTCAAAAGTAAAACATCAAAATACAGTTCATCTTAATTTCTGTGTTGAGGTCTGCTTGCCTTAAATTTTTGCCGTCCTCTCTTTCCATACTGACCACTATATATGGTGTGCTGACTTCACCACCCCTTCAGCTTCACTATTGCCCCATTGTAGTTCCATGAATGTAACAACTCAGCAGTAGTCGCTGGCATCACCCAACTAAAGCCCACCATGCTTATGCGCAGCTGCCACAGTTGAGCAGTAATTGGACAGCGAAGGAATTACTGCATTTTTGATTCCACAGTTGGACCACACAAAGAGCGTAGTTGAAACTGTCTTTTTAAAAAATATTCTCGAGTTAGATGTGCTTGTCTTGCCAATAACCATGTGCAACAGACCAATCTGAAAGGAGCCTTGGATTTCCTAATTGACCATCATTGTCAGTTACCAATCTCCTAGCCAGTATTAGAGAGGGAGAAGTAAGCTGATTTGTAGTTTGCCAAATATTGTGACAAGTTCATTCATAGGGAGAGTGATAGCCTCATCGTTTTAATTTCATCTTCCCTGTACTACACAAATGATGGAGGAGTACAAATCACTGAAAAATCATTTGAAAATCGCCGAATTCTCTGGTTTATTACTTGTACCTGAACCGACAAAGATGCTTCCACGCTCTCTCACATGACTTCTTCACCCCAAAGTCATCTCCTCACTCGATTAAAACCCCAATGTCGCCGACATCATCCTTGCTGGTTCCGGCAAGCACTTCTGTTCCGGTGTCGACCTCCAAACCCTAGCCGATGTCTTCAAACAAACCCACACCGCCGTTTGCACCCGCAACGTCGAGAGGCTCGCGACATATTAAGTTCATGCAGGAGGCTATTACTGCCCTAGAGTTTCGCCGTAAACCCATGATTGCTACTCTCCATGGTGCATGTATTGGTGGGGAGATTGATCTAACTACTGCCTGTGATATTAGGTATTGTTCTTCTGATGCTTTTTTCTCCATCAAAGAGGTGGATTTAGCTATGACGGCTGATCTCGGAATACTTCAGAGGCTACCCAGTATAGTTGGTTTTGGAAATGCCATGGAGTTGGCTTTAACTGGTCAGAGGTTTACAGGTTCTGAAGCTAAAGATTTGGGATTGGTGTCTAAGGTTTTTACTTCTAAAGAAGCTTTGGAGGAAGGTGTCAAAGTTGTTGCTGGTGGTACGTGTGTCGTCTGCATACCTTTTTTCTCTAGTAATGCTTCATTCTTTTTATTTACCTCTTCACTTTACTTCTAATTCATTTAAAGGAATCCTTTCCTGGCCTATTCACTATATGCAACAATCCAAGGCTACTGTCAATGAATCCTGAACTAGACAGGTTTGGAATCCATCCTTTAGGAGATTATTGAATGGCTAGGAGGTGGATAGAGGGGCCAACTGTAAACAGAAATAGAGAAGTTCACAGGCACGACCTCTGATCCCGACTGTCTGAGGTGGAAACACGTCAAGGATGGGATTTTCTCTGTAAATAGGGCATATTATATAATGAAAAATACAATAGAAACCAACAATGCTTTTAAGATGTAGATGAAAAACCTTAGTACCAACTAATGTAAAATGTTTTACACGGTCTGTTGCTAGAAGGGACAGTTTGATACATGAAGTATTGAAGTGGAAGGAATTAATTATAGTATCCAGATGCCAACTATGTGGGGCTAGAAAAAAAGGGACCAATAACCATATATTTTTGCACTACAGTTTAACAGCTTAGATATGGATCATTTTCCTTAAGTCTCACCGATACAAAGTAGACCATGCCTAAGCGTATTGCAAATTTTTTGAGCTATTGGATCAGAGAAGGAGGAAGCAAGAGTAAAAGATATGGTGGAGGCTTATCTCTCGTTATATCTAGTTGACTGGCTGGAGAGAGGAATAGTAGAAGTTTTGAAATAGGGTTAATTCAATTTATAAAGTGGAATTGTATTGTATTTTTTTATTTTTGGTATAAAGAGAAAGGTTTAGAGAAAACGGAACAGCTTGTAGACTTTTTAGGATCCTAGTAAATTTTCCTTTGTGTTTTCTCTTTCTTTTCTCTTTTGGAAGTCTCCTGTATATCCATTATGCCAAAAATGACACCATTACTATGTTCAAGAAAGTAAATAATTTCAGTGAATATTTCCTTGAGAGAGTCATGTTCCAACCAATTATCACATCCAGAATAAAGTCTTTCTTCCATTTCCTACCTTTATTAAAGAGTTGGCATGTAAGTAGTTCCAATGGCTTGCAGTAGCTTTCCAGACCCAACTTGAAAATTACAGGATACTTGGTAGACTATGATCCTATTTGGATGGGCTTAAAAGCTGGTCAAACTGACTTAAAATTCAGTTTTTGACTTATTAAAGTGTTTGACAATCATCAAAGTGACATATTTTAAGTCAAAAATGACTTATTTTAAGCCAAAAGCTAAAAGCTAGGTGAGGGGTGCTTTTTTTTTCCAACTTAAGTCATTTTATGTTGACCAAGTATATTACCTTTTTGCCCTCAATTTTTTTTATTATTATTATTTATTATTATTTTTTATTATTATTATTTTTATTATAATTATTATTATTATTAATATTATTATCAGTATTAATTTATTTTTATTTTTATTATTATTATTATTTTACCATTATTATTATTATTCTTATATTACTTTTATTATTATTATTATTATTATTATTTTGTTATTATTATTATTATTATTTTTATATTATTATTATTATTATTATTATTGTTATTTTTATTATTAATATTTTATCATCATTATTATTTTTATTTCTATTTTTATTATTATTATAATTATAATTATAATTATAAAAAATTTGTGATGATAAAGAAATATGTGAATGATTGGAAATATTATTACTTATGGATATTAAATATAAATTCATTTGTTTTAATTTTTTAAGTATAAAAACCTTAAATTAATCAACTTTTTATCATGTTAACAGTTTTAAGTGTATTTCAGACATTTTGATAAAAAAAGTGTTTACCAGCACTTATTGCCAAACACATCAACAGTTTTTTTTTCAACTAAAACACTTTTGTCCAAACACATAACTACTAATTTTAAAAATAAGTTTCATCACTTTCACAAGTACTTTTTAAAAGTTGCTTTTTTTAAGCCCATCCACAAACCGTCTCTATATACAATTCAACATCTAGGCATCCTCAATATTAGCTAAGATGTTAATTTATTTTACTTCTGAATAGTGATTTGTGTGTTAATTGATGACTAGTGAGCATGAACTTTGGGTTATCAGCTATTGGGCACCGACACTTGAATCCATCCATAATTTCATTACACCTGGGATTTACTTACCATTTGTCAAAAATAAAAAATTCATTACACCTGAGGCTTTTCAAGGCCATGGTGGAAACTGTACTTTGCCCATCTTATTGCGTTCATGCAGTCATGGTGCTAAATGTCACTTGCCATTCACATTCCCTCCATAGCTTCATTTTGTAGGCTTTTCTTTGTCTTCCATTCTTTAGAGGAACCTGTTGGATGATGGTGCAAAGCAATAAGGCAAAAAGTATCGCTCATCTGAAGTTCTTTACTCTTTATTTTGGCGTTAAGAAGGGCATAATTGCTTTCCCAATAATTGATAAACTTGGTGACTTGACCAAGAATTGGTAATTCTCGATTCTTCAACATTCAGATGTTGTATTAGCAAGAATGCATAACTGGCTTTTATTAGTTTCCCCTACTATATGCACATTGTTGGCATGATATATACAAGCTGCTGACCTGGGACTTTGGAGCAGATATTAATCTAATAAGTACTCCATCTGATGTTGGAATTTTCCTCCCATTAATTGAAACATTTTTTTTTGTATTATTTTTTACCTTTTATTAGCTTTATTTAGGCATGGGTTTATAGTCACTGGTAGGATTTCAATAAAACATCTCTTAATTCAGACATCTTTTGCCACTTTTCTTCTTGTACTCTTGTCTTTGACTTACATAGTATAAGATACATCTCTTACGTTTGAGGGGTTAAAAGCAGTTTTCACTTACAATTCTTTTCTTGCTAATTTGAATGGTTTAGATCTGTATGATCAGAATTTAATTGTTTGAAGAGAGAGACGGGTAAACTGCAGTCTTTTTCTTCAGTAAAATTAACAAATAAGTGCAAACTTTTTCACTTCACTTTATCTGTGGAGCAAATTGCACTTCATTTTACTAGTATCTCTGAGCGTCTTGCCCATACTTGATCCTCACGAGGACATCACGTTACACTCTGTATTGCTCATACACACGCGTGGGTACCTGATAAAGTTGCATCTAGAATCAGATACTTCATCACATAAATTTTTGTATTCAGGGTTGTGGATCGAGTTTGGATATGAATGTTGGAGGGTGGCCAAATGAGTATATATTTCGATTAGTTAAAGGTATTGAACTTAAAAAATAAAATTTAATTTTTAATATTTTATCCATAAGATATATATAAATCTGTATGTGTTGACACAAATCCAAAAAACCAAACCAAATAGTGAGTCAATCTATACGCTTGATCATAGATGTAGTCAAAGCATTAAAGGTATTGGTGATTTTTGGTAGTGGTGGAAGAAGACATTTTGGTTAAATTGGATGGGGCTAACAGAGGAATCACAGGTTTGACCCACTTTATATCTATATATTGACCGATAGTACATTAAGGGCATATATAGACTGAGTATGTTGTTGTTGTTTGTTATGGACCAATAGTATAACATTGAGGGCATGTATAGACCAATAGTATAACGGACGGCAATATTAAACCTTTCAAATTGTAGGGGCAAATTTGATCCTTTTCTCTAGTTTTAACTAATGAAGCACAATGAAAGTTGGGTGTTTTGCTCCTTTCTAGAGGGAACCTTATTTTTGATAACTTTCAAACAAACTTCATCTATATCCGTGGCTTATTAGCGATAAGTTTGACTTAAATTCACAGCAAAAGAGCAAAAAAAGTATGTACATGCTGATAATTTAGGTTGTATTAATCTATGTACTCCATCTATTCCAATTTGTAAGACCATATTTCCTTTTTGGTCCATCTAACAAAATGACCCTAAATTTGGAAACTAATATTACCCGTAATGACAAACTTTAACCGCCACACAATTGTGATGACATTTTTAAGATCACCACAACAACAAACTCGATCTAATCCCTCAAGGGAGGTCCACAAGTGAGGTATGAGGAGGATAGAGTATCTGTAGATGTTATCCATGTTTCTGATAGACCCTCTGCTTAAAATATAGGTTATCCTAGCTGTTAGGAAAAAGAAATGTAGATATGTAGTAGCGACAACAAAATAATATGAAATCAAAACTACTTCACAAAATAAGAGGTAAGAACAACAATGACGATAAAATAATGTGATTATTGAAGAGTGCGCAACCACACAAGCACATGTGATAAGTGATATCTAAAACGGAAGAACAAGAAATTACAAGGATAGTGCTAATACCACTAGTAAGAAATAAGAATGAAGGTCCAAGTATGACCACTAAGCCTATTCCGTAGAAAAGCGAGAGAATGCTCAACTAACCACTAGCCTTTTACCTTAGTTTGTGACCTCCAAACCTTCTATCTATGATCATGTCTTCGGTAAGCTCAAGATGTGCCATATGCTCATATCTTGTCTAATCACCTCCCCCAAATACTTCTTTGGTCTGCCTCTACCTCTCATGTTGCCCACTGTTGCCAACCTTTCACACCTCCTCAGTAGGGCATATCTACACTTCTCTTTATATGCCCAAACCATCTCAACTTCCACCTCCCCAACTTGTCCACCATAGAAGGCATTACCAACCTTGTCTGTAATATCTTCATTCTTAGTTTGTCTCTCCTAGTATGCCCATACATGTACCTCAACATCCTCATCTCGCAACCTTCATCTGCTGAACATGTGAGTTTTTGACTGGCCAACATTGTCCCATACAACATTGTTGGCCTAACCACCACTCTGTAACTTAACTTTAGTCTTGGCAGTATCTTTTATCACACAAGCCTTTATAGGTGAGCCTCCGTATTGCCATCCCGTACCAATACAATGTGTGATGTCATCATCGATCTCCTTGCTACCTTGAATTGAAGACCCTAGAGACACTTGAAAAATTCTCTCTTGGGGATGACTTAAGCATCAAACCTCACTTCCACCTTGACCTCATGTGTAGCATCACTAAACTTACACTCCACGTATTTAGTCTTGGTCTTGCTTAGGTTGAACCCTTTGGACTCTAGAGTTTTGTCTCCAAACCACCACCCTATCTCTAACTCCGCTACAAGTTTTGTCAATCAGTACTATATCTTCTTCGAATAACGTACACCATGGCACCTCACCTTGGATACGCTGCATCAGTACATCCATAACCAGAGGGAAAGAAACAAGCTTAGAGCCGATCCCTGGTGTAACCCGTTCATGATTGGAAAGTGATCCGACATTTCTCCCATTGTATGCACTTTAGTCTTGGCCCCATCGTACATATCCTCAATCGCCCTAGTGTAAGCCACAAGTACACATCTAGCCTTCAAACATCTCCGGAAAACCTCCCTTAGGACTTGGTCATAAGCTTTTTCTAGGTCAATGAATACCATCTGTAAACTTTTTTTCCTATACCTATACTGCCCCACCAGTCTCCTCACAAGGTGGATGACATTTGTGATGGAACACCCCAGCATGACTCTGAACTGGTTCTCAGTAATATATACACCCTTCCTCACTCTCATCTTCCCCACCTTTTCCCACACTTTTATAGTGTGTCTCAACAACTTGATACCCTATAATTGTTGCAGTTCTGAATCTCATTTTTCTTTTTAACAATGGAATCGTGGTACTCTACCTTCATTCTTTGGGCATCTTTGTTGTCCTATTAATGACCTTAGACAACCAAGTCAGTGACTCCTAGCGTGCCCTGCCTGTACTCTTCCAAAACTCCACAAGAATCTCATCTGGCCCAATTGCTCTCCCTCTCACACATAACATCCTTAAGCTCGTCAACCTTTATGGACCTGCAATACCCAAAAATCTTGCGTCTCTCGGTGTACTCCAACTATCCTAACACGAAGTCCCTATCCCTCTTTCGTTCAAGAGCTTGTAAAAGTATTTCTACTACCTCCATCTAATGAGTGCCTCCTCCCCCAATAGTCTGCCTCCCTCGTCTTTGATGCACTTCACTTGGGCCGAATCTCGGGCCCCTCTCTCTCTTGGCTTGACCGCTTGACTAATCTTTAAAACTTTTTATCCCCTCTTTGCCCCTAGCTCCTCATACAATCGTTTGAAAGCTGCCGTTTCAGTCTCCATAACCACGTTGTTTAAGACCACAAG